CTTTTGTTCGGAATGAAATTACTGAATAAAATACAAATAATTTAATGTATTTAGTATGGAAAAATTGAAACATCGTTTCAAGAATAAAATATAAGTTTTATTTAAAAAAATACTAAAACATGATGGTTTGATTTTTGTCTCAAAACTGAGTTAAAAGTACGTAATATAAGAAACAAATAACGTTTTTAAATCGGATTATAAATTATAATAATATTATTTGTAATGAAATTAATATCCAAGTAAACTGCACTAAATATGTACTAATTAGGAGACTAACTATAAGTAAATTTCCCTTATACTGTTTGCGATGTCGTATATGTTCAATTTTTTTTAAAATTAATCACCATCAAAATATAAAAATAAAACTCATTTATCATCAAAAAACAAGTTAATAACCAGTCAGGTTTTCGAGCGCCTGACGTTTAAATTGATGTCGACGGGGAGTATATAGTGGAAAAAATTACGGTAAAAATCCCTATCCACACGCACGTCAAAACAAAGTATTAAACTCCTGTTCATCTATATATATGTTAAGGTATTTTTTTTTAAGAGCGAGTGCTACAAAGCGAGGTTTTTATATGTTAATGATCATAATAGAAAAATAGAAAGAGGCGCAAAAACTTAATAATACATATATGGCATATATGGTATAGCCTCTACGCATGTTACAAAAAGAAAAAGAAGAAAATATACAAATTTTTATCAAAAAAAATTAATAATAGTAGAAATGTAGCAATAACATAAAATAGAATAGAAAAACCACAAAACAAGTGTGAAGAAGTAAATCTGAAGAAAAAACGTTTTAATTTTGTTTATCGTTGAATCATATAGGTAGGTATATAATATAGTAGAAAGTGCCGTAAAAGTAGTGAAACAAATAACAACAAAAATGACGATTAAGAAGAAATTATACAATGACAAATAACAATATGTGTAAAAAAAAGAGAGAGAGATAGAAATAGAAAATATAAAATTATAGGTAGAGAAGTTGCAACAGTCCACAACATTACACCACGGGATGCATTTTTTTATTTTGCTTACCTCCGTCCGAAACCGCTCTTCTTCCTTACAAAAATCATATAATTATAACAAGTGGTAATAATAAAATAAAATATATTGATTTGCATACAATATATACGCCTTGCAGGTTGGTCGTCGTAATGAAATATTCCAATATTGTTTATAATACAATATTATGTGTATCGCTTCGAAAAATAGGTACCCTGACTGTAGGGCGCTTGGTTAAGGGATTTGCAATATTGCGAGCGGGAGAGAATTCCCGAATAATATTTCAATCTCCATTGGCAAGGAGTGGTGGTAACTATACCTAGGTACCAGTATAATTTGTTAGCCCACTAGCGAATCTTTCGGGCAATTTAATCCGTTGAATGCGTATTGCGATACCTACTGTATAATATTATTACTTGGGCCAGGGGAGATCGCTGTAACTTCCCGGCGAGTATTTTTTTTCAGGGTTTTCATTCTGGTCCACGTTAAACAGTCTCGGGAATCAATACTCCGGGAGAACCAATGTGAACATGTTATAAGCTCGACGACGACGACACTCCTGTGAAAACACTGTGGTGGCGAGAAAATAACAACACGGGTGTTTGATAGTTTTCCAAACAATGTCCGGACATTCCCGGGAAGTTTACATTCAATTTGGCTTGCCCCGCAGACTCGAAACCCAGAAACGAGGCGGAGAGGACTGTGCTAGTGCACAACAATGCACACATACACGGAGAAATCACCGTAATACAGTGACTCGCGAGCAGCGTCTTTTGTGTGCTCTGCGAAAGTTTTCAAACTTCTGATTCTATATTATGTAAACGATTTTTTTTTACCCCCGCGAACGATCGAAAAGTACGATAAGTAGACAACTACAACTCACAACTCGTGGTCCGGACGACCCGACCCACGAATAACCACGTCATATTATAATTATGTGCGTACGAGAATGATATGCGAAACTTGCGGGGGGTCGCAATATTGTCTTCGACCTTACATTATAATAATAATGTATTATATCATTATAATCTATTGTGCAGGAGTAGCGTGTTTTTGACAATTTAGGAAAAAAACGAAATATTTACCATGATATGACGACGAAAAATAAAAATCATGTAGCATAGAGGTAGGCATGTCGGAATCCAGGCCGTGGTAATGGGTGGAGGAAGGGGTGGACAAATAATTAACTTAATAACAATATATCATTATCTCGGTACGAAGAGATCTCCCTTAAATGTTTCTTTGTAAAAACCATAGTGCAAGGGTACTATTCATCCATAAGTGGTATTGAGAATATCTAGTACGGGAATATTGTGTTTACGAAACAAATTAATGCACTTGTATAGTGTATGGTTATTTTTGTAAAAAAAATGTTTAAAACTCGACCATTTACTATACGGTTAATCGATTATAGTATTATGAAGCAGCAATGACCGAAAGCATATTTATTTATTTTAGTATATTAGTTGTATTATTGTGACTAGAAAATGAAATAATATATACCACTATTATAAACGAGGTATAAAATATAAATGTATAACGTGTAATATACATATCGTGAATATATCGGTAACAATAAACGGCGTGTGTGTGGTTTTTTTCAAAAAAATACTTTTTGTTTCATTTTGTAATCAATTCATTTTTTTTATTTTTTGTAGCTCGACGATAAATAACCGAAATTTGACAGTCACGAGCGTCGACAATAATATTGTTCCACTATCGTCCATTCAGGCTCGTGTTGTAGGTGTATGGATGATTTTTATCCTACGAACGTTTTTATTAATTTTATTATTTTGTTTTGTTTTTTCCCCTGTGTCCGCCGGGGATTTAGTCAGTCGAAATTCGTTTCGAAGCCGGTGGCGTCGGAGTGCTCGTTATCGACACAATTCTATTGAAAACCCATTAACACCGATGTATAATCTGCGGCTGCCCGAAATCATTCATTAAGCACCGGTGGCGGTGCCTCCACTGATTAGTGGCGAATCATAAATAATTACATGTTCTATCTCTTCCAGTCTAGCTTTGGCCCTCTCATCTCTATCCACCCTCTTCTCCAAAAAAAAACCAAAATATTTAGTTTTGCAGGTGCTACTCCAATATGCGAGTAGGTAATATAAGCACATAATAACATCATTATTGTTGTCTCTCCCCCCTCCATCACTTGCTTTCGCATCATCGACAGTCTATATTTACGTATTATTAATTTTTGTCGCCATCTCTACTTCAGTCATAGAATGATATAAATTTAAAATGTTGAATTTAATCCCATTGAAATAGTACCGTCCTGCGATATTATTATTGTATAATTTTTGCGTTACAGTTTTCTACAGATCGTTGATTAAATTTCGAAATCCTTAACCCAACGAGTTTGATATTATTGTCATTGCTTATTAATGTTATTTCAATATATATTTTTATATAAGATTTCAATAGAGAAATCGCGTTACTGTATCTTTTTCTGTACAAATCGTTTGAAAGTTTAATTTAAAACGTACCTTTCGATATTGTATTTACTATTTACATTTTATTTTATTCCCATTGAATGGATATTTAAATGTATATCGATTTATATAAGTGTTGTAAGACAGAGTGATTTAAAGTATAATCAGTTTAAAAATAACTACTAAAAATATTTACTAAAGAAAGATTTATTGAACATATATTGCTATAAAATATCTTGTTTATGATTAAAATATTGAAGATTTTATATTTCATATCTGTGGAATTTTAAGGAAACAATATAAGATAATTATATTGATTTATAAATCTATAAAAATAAAATCTTTTTTTAGTCGTCTAAAACTTTTAACGTTGTGTTCTTAAACTCAACGTTGATAAAAACTGTGATTTCGAAACACTGATGTTAGAATGACGTCATCATTAACTCCAAAACTAATTAAAAATTAAAATTCCCAAATGATAAAAACTAAACGATGAAGCCATGTCAGCTGGAATTTTCGCCTATACCAAAAAAAGTAAAATTGAATAATTAATATAAGTTATTGGAAAAAACAAATAAACTGATAGACATTTTAAATTTTCTCGTTAGGTTATTACTTCTTTTGAGATAGTTTTTCAAGTTAATGTTTTTACGTTAGATATTATATTATTTACACCCTGATTATTGATCACTTCTTTCTGAACTTTTACATGTTTTTATTTCGAAAAATCTAAAACATATTTTAGTAAAATGTATTTCTTTACATTAAATTAGTAAAATCGATTCGCGAGGGTCAACTGAATTGCATAAATAGAACCCTTGGGATGATCTGCCTGTTCAGAATTTAAAAATTATTGCTCGTTTTATACCTACGTATATGTACATTGTACCTACATTTTGTTTTATACTCCCTGTGCGTTTGGTATATGAACGTTTTTTATCTATAATTGAACTGCAATTTTATTTTGTCCATTTCAAAATTCGTTAAAATAATTTCCATGTATACACGTGTTATAGTCTATATACCTACTTACAGCAAACGATACAGTACTACCTATATAGACAACTCGGAAGATATTTGCAAAGTACAATTTTCCAAAAAGTCTCATCAAATACATTATTATGCATACTTTTTTTTGAAACGGACCTAATCCAACAAAGTCGTGCGTTCCAATAAATCGTTTCAAAATATCAGCTTGGTATTCGAGTGTACGATTTTTATATAGTCAAATATTACACGGCAAAATCAAAATATTACGTAACAAAATAATGCGAAGACAATGGTTATTCAAAACTATCAAACAAACCGCCGAAGTAGGTACCTATATGCAACGCCGACGCTAAACTTGTAATCAGTGCACATTGGTTCGCCCAAGGATTTTGGGGGGTGGGGAGTGGGGGATTATGGCTCTTACTCAATGTACTGTGGGTGGAAGGGGCGGGCGACGATGAGAAAAAGACCCGGCATTTTCGAGATTTTGATCTTATAAGTTGTACGACACAGAGCGGTGGCGGACGGTGGTGTGCGACACGTTGAAAAATCGTACGTCACCGATAATGCCAGCCATGAGAGCGACCGGCGATAGTACGGTGGAACATTCTTCAGCCGAACCCTCGGCCAGCCGGGTGGCGTTTTCGTCTGTTCTCCTCATCAGTCCCAGTAGACAATACGGATCGCTATAACCTGACGACAACAACCAACGGGTCAACCAAACTAGCCCAAATCATATTATAATATTATCGTACAAGGTGCAGGTAGTTATGTGTAGTATGATTTTGTACGCATATAATATTATTACAGGTAATATTATAATACACATTGTCCGTCTCCATAAACGGGGCCTATTTTATAACCACCCATATAATAAGGAGCTTAGTACGAAATTCTGCAGTCACAAAATAATATTTTGTACCAAGATGCATATTATAATTGAATGTAGGTGTTAATAGTAGCTATACATGTAGGTATATTTGTACTGTACTTCTGCTTGCGTAATTGGAATTGAAGTGTGATAGCATATAAAACAAAATAAGTAATGTATATATTTTTTTATCATTCTCTCTCACTATTTTTTTTTTTGTGTACCTCTCTATGTTTATATTTATTTAACTCATTCTCTCTTTCCCCGAACATTACCGACCGACGACCGAATAATGGAAAATCAGATAGTTTTTTGCATTGGACCGGAACGGATGTCTCGTGGAATGTTTAAAATATACAATCCAAAAGCGTCTAAAATATACGTATATATATATATGTTATTATATATATATATGTTATTATATATATATATATGTACAATATATGTGTTTATCGATCGACTAACCGACCAACCAACCGACCAATAACAGTAGAATTTTTGGAGTAAAAAACCGTCTTGTTTGATTTGTTAGAATGTTGGTATGTTAAGCATTTATTCGACAAATATCTGTATTCAAGCATTATAGAAAATACAACATTAAAAAAAACCGAAGCGACGGAATATTAATAAAAAAATTTATAAATACAGGTTTTTTTTTTTAATGCCTTCATTATAGCTACATTTTTGTAAGTTCATAGTTTGAAATAATATTAATAAGTTTGTTGGTTAACCTTAGAAGTTGAAGCTGTAACATTAGTTATAAAAATAAAAACAAAAATTACAAAATAGTATTATGACATAGGTAACAATTAACTATAATATAATTTTAAATCTTACAATGTATAAGAAAGCTAGATAATTTGACGAAGGAAATTAAATTGGCTGTAATAGGAAGGGAATACACGAATAACGAATAACGTCATAATTTACATATTTAAGTACTCAATATACGTTAAATATGGCTATAATACAATACATTATACGTAATTATAGGTAGATAAGTATTTGTATATTTTTGACTTTATATTTACATTCTTAATATAAGTTATAACTATGTTTTCCACATATTTACTATTTTATGAACCCAATATATTTTATATCAACGATTTGTAATTTGGTTTTAAAAACTTTTAAAGGAATTTATTTCTTGTTTATGTATAGTGTATAATATTCAACGCAGATAGGTTCAGGTAAATTGGAAGTATTTCATTAAGACTAACAATTAATCAAAATATTGTATTTTTATTACGGGGATAAAAATAGTTTGAAACAATTAAAAACTTGTCATTCGGGTTTGTGAAAATATATGAATAAAACATCTATAAATAATAAGGACTAATGACGCTGAACAATATTTTAATAAATAATTGGCTTTTGACAGTTATTGTTTTATCGATCAATTCATAGGACTTTACAAATGCAGGTATATAATGCCAATTGTTTACATTTGTACGTTTTTCTGTGTATGTGATCAGTGAATTATATTTATTTAAATGTTGCTAATTTAAAAACCAACGCTTTATTTTTATTTTTTATTTTTATTGGATGAACAATTCTCCGTATGAGTTTCGATGACTTTGAAATATGTTTTAACAAAATAATGTTAATAGTAGTTAAGTAGTTGACACAAATAATATGTAAATGTACTTATACTGTATTTATGATCATAATATGAAAATATTTGTTTAAGTAATTAAGGGCTAACTAAAAATCATGCTATGACGCGAACCTTGTCAATAAATTAGTTTGTATACCAATAATAAATATATCTCAATTTGTTTATTTTACAATGTTTAATATGCCTTTAATTGTTTTTAGGGATTTCTAAAGGAGTCATTAAGTATTTCATGTAATAAAATATCTTAGGCATAATAATAATAATAATAATAACAATAATATGCCATGTTAACGAAACGAGAATTTTCTGATAGGTACACACGTCTTGAAATAATTACAGAACATCGTTCAAATGATGCCAATAATAATTGATCATGAACAGTTTTCACCGTCACCATAAACATTAAACGTCAACACAAACTTGACGGCGCAACGCGTTTAGCGTGTTCTATCAACCTATGCTTGAAGTCCTTACACGCCACTGACATGACATTGGGGTCAATCAATCACGCTTGAGCGGAACGGTTAAGTACGTTACATCGTAAATATTAAAGTGGCAGAAAACTGTATAAATGAAATTCCTGGCAAATGAGATCATCAGTCTGTTGGCGTGGTGATCGGTAGAAGATGTGGGGGGGGAGCAGTGATATCTTTTGACGTGCATCATACAAGATTGTATTAGACTTCAAAAGAATTACAGTTTATTGGAATATCAATCAATTTTTAATTCATGAATATCTTTAACAATGTACATTGTACGACAAACATAATATTATAAAATAGACATTGTGTATTTTGGGCAACAATATAAACAGACGGAATGCTCAATATAATATTATATTATAGATTTATAGCTTTGGACGTAAACAATGAAACAATATTTTTGTAGGTAAATTTATATTTCTTGTATGTGCTGCAGATGATGTAATTGAATAAATAAGATGTTTGTAACTTGTTATGTAGTACAATTTTATTTTTAACAATATTCGCGTCATTAAAAGTTTTTTTTAAATTGATATACCTACATTTCAAAAAAACATAAATAGCTTTAAGTATAATATATTTTGTGATCAAGAAAATATTCTATCTTTTTCTAAAAAACAAAAAAATAACACAATCTAAATAGGTAGATAACATATAATTTGTATCAAAGAAACTTCAACAACAAAATAACTTTTTGTGAAATGAATTTATTAAGATGTTTTCTCGCAGAATTGCACTACCTATACAAAAACGCCGCATATAGATTTAACCCATAAAGATTAAAGATAAATTGTTATTGTAATTGGATGAATGTAATCAGGTAAGAATTCGATCTGGAATCGTGTAACCATTGGGATTATACAGGAAATGGGATAGTGTCCATTAATCACACGCTTCAAAAAATGCAGGAAATTAAATTTTTCCCCTTTTTACTAAAAATACACTTGTACACAAAATTCGATTTCATGACTTTTATTTCAATAAAACTACGTTGGCTTTTGATCGAACTCATTTGTTACTGTTTGTACCTACTCTTTTTTACTGTGTTAAATTTTTAATTTATATTTAGTTTTTATTTTTGAACACATTTTACTCTGATAAACTATTTGTAACTTCCATTCATATCAAGTGTGTGTATCTACAAATTTTAATCAACAAATCGGAAACACTGGTTTCCAAGTTATTCCACGAGTCGACCTGTCATAAAAGTGAATATTATTTCGGAATACAATTATTATTTATAGGGGAAATTATATTATAATTTATATAATAATAATCTTTAAAATATTTTTCATCAAGAAATTTGAATTACGATAAATTGATATTTGAGGCATTGAATCAGATAAGGGATATACAAAATAAAAATCTTACTCTTGAATCTTAATGGTTACAAAATAAATGTATAGTATTTCAACTACTGTGGTTAACTTTTTTACCTAAAATAATTTTAATTAAAATGCTTATAGAAAAAACTAAAAAAATCTAAAATTGTATATGCATTGTATGTTTTTACCTCTGATGTTGAATAAATATTCCCGTTTCTGTATAATTTGTTTTTAGTTTTTCTCAAATATTTTTTATGGTATTGGAAATTTCAAATTTAGTAGAGTATAACTTGATCGAATTTTCTAAACATCCTACTAATAACCACCCTCAAAGTTAAAGATTGAAGCATGTTTACTCGTCTAAAATTTGATGACAAAAAATTTTTTTTTTTAAATACTCATCATTGTAAAACAAATATTGAAATCATCTTCTCAGAATCTGAAAATTTGTCAGGATTTAGATAAAAGATAAGTATTAGTTCAGTATAGTTTTTATAAATTGGAACAAGAATGATTAGCAAGCATTCGATAAAACTATTATTGTGATTGAAGTTATTTTTTATAAAACAGTTTTTAAAAGTTATTTTGTTCGTAAAATAATTAATCATTAATACTAAATAGAACATATAAATATTTGTCTACGTCATGAAGCTGAACAAATGTATGAGTAAAATGTATATGAGGAATTATCTTCTCCTGTAATTGTTTTATATTTAATGATATGTAAGCTCAACTAAGAGCTAAATGTTGGTATCCTAGCAAACCCTTCCTTTGAAAGTTTGATAACAACTTAAATTCATAATGAGATTAGAACGAAGAATACTAAATATAGCATCATTCAAAACATGTCCTAATTTTAAGTATTTATTTTTGTGGTTTGAATAGTAGAAGTAGTATAATATGTAGTTACAATTTTGTATGTCACAAACGAGAATGGTTTAACTAATTTCTTCTTTAGTAAACTTCATAGTTTTATACCAATACTGCCATGTAATATAAAAAGGGTATTCGAAGTTTGAATATGTAGATATGTACGATAACAACTATTATAAATCTTTTAAAAAAGTATATGATATCGATTATATAATGATTATAAGACAGGGATGTCCTTTATTTTAGCATAATTTCAACAAGAAATTATTTTGTCCAGGCATACAAGTAGATTCGTTTCAACTAATACATTCGTTTTTTATACGATTATAAAAAAAAATACAGAAAATATTTTTATTTTAGGTGACAAAAATAAAATTTAAATGAATTTTATATAAAACTGTACATATTTTGACTGTGTGAGCAGATGATCAAAGATAAGTACATTTTAAAATGGCCCTTACCCGTCTTAACAATTTAACTTTTTTAATAGAAAATGTAGTTGAATAAGGATCATTGTAAATCTATGTCTAAAAACCACTTTAATTGACATTCAATTTTACTGAGAGAATAATATTTTCATACCACCATCTTGAGAAAAACACTTAGGTGTACTGATATTGTCTAACCAAGCGCCGTCTTATATTAGTGTTTAGAAAAAAAAAAGTAATTCGAAATTAATCTCAAGTAATTATTAAATTGTCTGTATAAAAATCTCTGTCTGTTGTTTTGAACCACATTCCACAGTACTGACATATTATAACTGGCATATAGGGTGCGTCAAACAACCCACATTCATGCATCCATATTATGCCATAAACATACTTCCGAAACAACTTGGTCGTGAAAGATGAGTACTGTTATACGATCTAAGTTTTTATTTCCTAACTTACCATTAGCGTCTTTCGCCTCCAGGCCTTCAGCTTCGACCACCGTCACATGAAGCACCACTATGGGAGGCTAAAGGATAAAAAACAAAATATATATTGTTAAAGAAAATATACAAGAATAATGCCATTACAATACACAATATATTTTGTACATTTTTAACGTAATAATGACGGTGAAAAGGGTTTCTGACGATGTGGCGTTAAGGCGTAACAAGTCGATAACGAGATGTGTTGAGTTCTACAATACTATCTATTATATAATAGAGAAAACGGGGACATTTGAAGATTCATGCCTCAGGAGTTCAAATTCCCTCATTAAACTTGTGCAAAATATACTGCCATACTTGGTTCTTAAAATAAAATACTAGAGATTACGTGTCGACCGTGTCCTGTTCGGGCAATGAAAAAAGTTTATAATCCATAATTTTGATTTACGTATAATATAAGCATATATTTTTAAAAAAATACACAATAATTATCATATTGTTTTCATCTCCCTTATTTTACCTTAATTACATAAAATTTAGTTACAACATTATATTATTAAAAGTACACAGATATTATCCCTGTGGTATATGTACTGTAGATAAACATATTTATACTTCATTGTATTTTGAACTTTGAGATGCTTAAATTCAAAAATACGACTTTAGACGGATTGAGACATAAATTCAAACAAAGAATGTCAGGGTCAATCGAGGTGATATAATATTCTGACATTTTTATTATTCCCAGAACGGCCTAACTAGCCTGTCAAATAATCTTATACAGTTGTCCAAGTAAATAACTTGCTATAAATATGATTATATTTGGTAGAAATTCAGCTATTACGCAATGATGTTCAACATTTTGTTGAATACTTTATTCAAATGAATGTTAACTTAAAGTATTCCTAGAAACTACAGGAATATTTTAAATATAATTACATTTTTGGACAATTCATAATATAATATTAATAGAAACTTATTCAACCAAACTAACAGCGTAATGCACAATGTTGAAAACTTCATAATGGAGACTCAATAGCGTAGTAATTAGTAAACCTTATATTTTTGTTACTTTGTAATATTGCTACTTTTGGTGCGTCATTAATAGTAATATTAAGTATTAGTACATACATTAATATATTAATAATATATTTTAAAAACAATTGGCATGAACCGAAAATACTAGGTATGACAGATGTCTGTGAACGTGATCGATAATTTTTATGATCGGCCCTCTGATCAGGATATTGTCTTCTTTAACTCCTTAGGTCATTTATAATATTATAGTCTATGATTAAGCCTTTGGAAAGTTGAAGCTCATGAAATTAGTTTGGAACTAGTTCAAATACATGTACAGTAAATTAATAAGAACTACAATTATTATTTGTCTTAATGTTGTAATAATTCGTTAAATCCTAGATTTTGGTCGCTCAAATAAACCTTATAAATAAATCGGTTTAGAGTAAAAACACGAGCAAAGATTTAATCCGATATAATAAAGTGATCCAGATCATAACATATGATAGGGGTAGTATGTACCTGTGTATCTATTAGACTTGATTGATCAAATTTCTTTTTCTTTTGATTTAAAGTGTAAGCAATGCTTACAGTGCTTATATGCACGCTACGCCCCTGCAACACCCAGAGTATACCATCGTTTTTTTACACTCTTTGAACCATAAATATAACGTTCCAAAGTTTAGAATATCGAATTTAAACAATATAACTTATGTGATAATATAAACTTATGCATTGACTACATCAGCATATTTGGATTATTGTGAATCTACTAGTATAATTTGAACTTAGTGAAAATTATTTGTAAAAGACTTGGATCATCAGATTTTTAATTTTCATTACATATGATGTTGTTATAATATAAAACAAAATAACGGCTGCTATGGATAAAATCAATTGTTTTATATACAAATTATATGCAGTACGCAATGAATTAGTGTGTACATAAAAAAAAACACTCAAATATACTCAAATATTTCTTATAAACGTCTTGAACTAAATCATAAAATAAAATAAAAGCTTTTAAGCACTATAAGCTTTGTTCGGAAAATTTGGAATCCATTCAAAGCACGTACGTTGAGGAATTTAGTACCCATTTTACACTCCAATTAAAATGCCTCGTTTTCTGGGGTTTTTTTTTGTCGAAGATTTCGTCAATGATAGTAAGTTAGCCCTGTAGGGTACTATACTTCCCGGTGGCAATTAATGTTCTCAACGCGAACATGATTGTAAAATTATACCATTCAAAAATAATAATAAAATAACACGAAAAGAAACAAAAATTACTTTTTCCTCGTGCACGATGGCCATGTAACGTCTGTGCTGCTCGGGTGTGACATCGAATGCTTTTTGTGCGTAAACGTATAGTTGATCTCGATGTGCACTCAGTTCTGTATCAGCGCCAACTTTGTACTTTATTGTATACAAAACATCCATGTATAAGTTTTCCATCTATGATAAGACACCAAATAATAGGCAGTTAGTTAAATTACATTTGTGAGTTATATTTTGGCAATCAAAAGTAGTACGTATTCCTTCTATAGGTATAAAATAATTGTGATTGTATGATTATATAGTAATAATATAGTAATATACTGATATTTAATTATATAGTATGTTTACAATATTATTAGATGTATATGCATAAAGATAGTAAGATGACATATTTTTTTTAATGGCTATACTGCTGTGCATTGTTAAAAAAAATGCAAAAAACAGTATTTTTCGTTGTAATTATATGACTCATATTCTTGAAATTTCACTTTTATCCTAATATTTTAACTGTCAAAACTATTATTGTCAAACAAACTTTCAATAAAAAAAAAAAGAAGAAGGTACTCATATTCAATTTGTAATTTTTGAGCGACTAGGTAAATGTAATGGTTCTCATCCAAATCACTTAACTAACTAGTTTTACATTTTCTTTAATTTTAAGTTATAGAGCAATAAACAAATGCACGCTGAAATATATTGACTAAAACTTTTGTTTATTATTTTATTTTTCAAATGTCAGTCTGTGGATTTGTTTGAATGTGTTGCTTTTATAGTTTTTAATTATTATTTATAGTCAGCATCTTATAGTTTAAAAAGTTTTACATTTAATGTCTTTTATATTTTGCTTTTAAATCAGTTAATTTAAAAGTCTAAAATAAAAATATTGTTTATCTTTTTAACTAGAAATTGGTTGGGTTTATACAAGCATAATACGTTACTATAAAATTTTAAGATAAGTCAGTTTTAAATTGAATGAATCATAAAGTGTACTTATTCGTAAATCAAAACAGTAAGCTAGTTGAAACATAATTAAAATAATTCATCATCTAGAATGTATTGATTTATGAAAACTAATGACAACGTAAAATAACTGAATAAAATATTTCAAAAATGAATTATTTAGTTGTTATCGGATTTGTTATTTTAATGAATGATGTAAATAATATACAGAGTGATTCACCGAGCATGCTTATTTCTCACCTTCATTTAATTCATTTAACTGTGAATTTATTCAAACCCTGGAATTTTTAAATACAGGTTTTTAAAGACATTTTTTTCAAACTCGTTATATTAATTGTTGTACTAATTAAGGAGTATTCTGCGAAGATGCAAACTACTGTCATTGAAATAGGAGCCTCCTTTTTTACAATAAATTATTTTATGGATACATTTTTTGAAAATGTGTATGTACTTTCTAAAAAATTCTAGCTAATAGTTGTTCAGTCATTAAAATGTTTATACTCATTTGTATTTTATATGTATTAATCAGGAATTCTAAAATTTTTAATTGTTTGCATTGATTGTGTAACACTGAAAACACAGTTTACAGTGAAAACTGGAAATATGGTTGAAAGAAAAATCAGATCTGTTAGCTCAAACTAAAGATTATAGATGATTTAATACTGTCATATTTTTTAAAGTTATTTACAGTGATTAATTCGCTCTTAACTCGTAATATTCAAGTTCTAGACCCTAGAAATAAGGTAAAATAAGGTTATTTTAAATAGTAATTATTGTTGTTATGGTAAAAATGGTGAATTTTTAATTTACAGTACATGGTTGTTTTAATTCGATTGTGTGTATTTTTGACATGTCAAACCAGATCCCGCCAAAGTGCTTTTCCTTGTGAAATCCAGATGAAACACCTCTATCCGCCCAAGAAGAACATTTGTTCAGCAATATGGTGAATCATTATTCATTTGTCATTTTAAGACATGTACTCAATACCAACATATAAATTACATATAAGAAAAAATATTTTTCCTCTGTCAAATAATAACTTTGAATGCTGTTTATTTATCTATGACGAGATACAGCTATAGAATATTATCGAATTTATGAATGTGTAATACATTAAATTAATTATCGTTAACATAATATGCCTATTTACCTGTGTGAGACTTGAGTTTATTTTTAACGTTTATACGATTGATTTATTTCTAGCTTAAAAATTATTCAGAAAAAAAATTATCAAAACAAGATTTAATGTCTATTGAACTAATTGCACCACCAGACATCCACCTTTACGTTTTACACTATAATTCAACTCACGTTTTGTAAAGAGAATTTTATCAGGTTTTAAACCACATTTTTTTTTGTGCAGAGCGAATGCAGATGCTCTGAATGCTTCTAAGACATGCTATTTATTGGACTCGAATATCAATGTACATTGCAATTTGCAGCCAATTTCAAATCAACCCTATCAGAAACAGGTCGTGTCTGTGTTATTTGTACAAATATTGACCCACATGCACTGTTATTATTATAACCTTTTTTTAAGAATATAACATCTCTTTTGGTGCATAATATTTTTTTACTGCAATAATATACACTTTTGAGAGCCCGACTATAATACTCCAAACTGTTAAGTTATTTTTTTAAATTAATCAAACATTTTTATTCTATGTTGATTTTTAATCTTAGATTTGATTCCCATGAAAATATAAGATTATTAAGTAACCAAATTACCTCTTTTGGTTGAATACTTGAAACAGGTGGTGGTATCACTCCGACGCTGTGTTCAGGTGGAGGGCACTCATCTTGCCGACTGTCTTTGATCATTTGCAATCGTCTCTGATCCAATTTCCACTGTAAGCTGCTATATTTCTCGAAAAACGAACCATCCGTGTCATGTACACTGTTGAAAAATTATTGATCGTTAAAAAAAATGGTAAAAATAATATCCTAGTTTGAAAACGTAAACATTTGATTAATCCAATAATTTCAAAATTTCAAAAATTTTTATTACAGCAATTATAGAAAAGTAAATACAACTGATTAGAATACTTTTAAATTATATTTATAGTGATTAGTGAATAAAAATGAATACATTTATATTTTGTTGTGTAGATGTTGTTATAACTTATAAATACGTCATGCAATACATTGTAAATATAATATTGTTGTTAACTTAGAGGAGGGGAAGGGAGTATCCTCTTTTGTCAGATAAATTTTAGATAAATATTATATTCATATGATATTCTTAATTCTCAATGTTTGCATATAAAAATGATAACTGTCAAAGTAAATATGAATTTAAGTTAAACGCATTATTGAGGTTATTTTCAAATGGATATGAGACAAGAATAACCTCTGGAATAAATCTTGACCATTATTCTTTAAGTAGAAAAATGAACTAAAAGACATGGTTTACTTATCAGTTATCCTACATCGAATTACATATTATTGAATATAATATATCAAATATATATTGTAGAGTATTGTTATTTTCTTTCAAAAAAGATTTTGTCTATATTTATTTAATGATTCTAGTCTGAGGTCCGATTACTGTTTCGCCGTAGTATCCATTATTTGTTGTTCATACTAGGCAACAGCTAAATAAGTACCTAATAATGATAAATTTAAATTAAAAAAAAAACTGTATAAATGCCACCGAACTAATGAAAAATATAAATATTGTATAGGTCAGTGCCTGTTTTTCTATTGTGTGTTCAGTAAAGGTTTTAGTTCTGCAGTTGCCAGTCTCTATTATCATAGATTAAATATACTAGTATATTTAATCTATGCTATTATGAACTTCAGCTATTTCTGTATAATCACCCGATTCATAACATTTGCCGTTCTATATCATATACAATTATAGACTCTGCATACTTCGAATAAACTATATTAATATTTCAAGCGAATCTTATATTCTGTATATCACAACGAATATCGACATGATTTCTCTTGCAAAAAAAAAAAAAAATTCTGTATAACGTTTCTATAACTTCATAATTATAATTTTTTAAATATATATCTACTATGTTGGCTCAAGAATACGTTATACATGTATTAAGCATTGTATACATTACACGATTCCGTGATACACGAATACTGCCACATATCAAGCCAGACATAAATGCAAAATATACTTGCGTATTAAATATACATATAAATGCATTGATAATCGATTTTAATTAATAAAAAAATTGTGTCGGTATTCAGGTGAATTAACCACAGCATAGACGAGGATACTGTAAAGGTAAGGAAAATTTGTAAGAATCAGGCCAGAGTATTAATGCTTCGCAGTCGTCAACCCTCAGCTTTGCTAGTAAAATATTACATCGTGCCTTCGAGCTGTGTATATTATGGAACTCGCGTGTCTGCGGTCTGTGGGCGTGACGTGTGCACCGTGCACCGACTCGTTAGGGACTTAATATTATGTATAATATGTA